TCATACCATACATATTGCTGAAGAAAAAATTATGCTGGGCACAGTGGCAGGTTCCTGTACTCCCAACTACTTGGGAGGATGAGGCAGGAGATGGCTTGAGTCCAAGAGTCCTGGACTGTAGTATGCTAAGCTGATTGGGTGTCCACACTAATCCTGGTATCAATCCTATGACCTCCCAGGAGTGGGGAGTAGGGGACCCACCAGGTAGCCTAAGGAGGGATGAACCCAGGTAGAAAACAGAAGGTCAAAACTCTCGTGCTGATCAGCAGTGGGATCGTACCTGTGAATAGCCACTGAACTGCAGCCTGGGCAGCACCGTGAGACCCCAACTCTAAAAAAAAAGAAAATAATGCCATTTATTAGAGATGGCAATATAGACCCCCGTGCTATGGAGATTCTAGTAGGGACCACAGAAAGGGGGTCTGGTAGTGAAAAGAGATGGGATCAACTCTCAACTCCAGCAAAGAAAAGTGGGGATTTATAACTGCAGAGCAGAGGGGGGCCAGTGGATGAAAAACTACTGAGAGCAAACATGAAGGATAGGGTTTTTCTGGCAAAAGTGACTGGATAGGTTTATTGCACTCCAGGATGGTCAGATACTGCGGGTGAGTGATCCTCACTAAACTGACCAAGGAGCATTCTGGCTCAAACTGGATTTAACCGGAAAGGGAAGCCCAAGATTGGACCTAGTCTAGCAAAAGACTCAGAGGAGTCTATCTGAAGTTTTAGTCAAAGCAGAGAGTCTTTGACAATATTTTAATAAAAGCTAACGATTATACAACAATATTAACATCTGATAGATCAGTTAACAACGTGAGTTTCTGGGCTTTGATGTGACAGTGTCTATACTTTTGCTTACAGTACGGAGCAGTGATTTTCAACCAGTGTTCCATGAGAGGATCTTACGTGTGCCGCAAAAATTTTTAAAGATCATTAATTAAATTATTTTCAAAAGAAGTTCAAAGCCCAGTAAATTGTCTGACTACAGTAAGTATATTCTTTTCTTTTCTCTTTTTTTGATCAACATAATTTAAACGTGCCGTGGAAGTTTAACTATAGGTTTAAGGGTGTGGTGAGATAAAAAAGGTTGAAAAACACTGCTACAGAGACTAAATGTGATTGCTGGATACTTTCATGTATTGGAAAACTTTGGTTCAATTTTGCAAAGATCTTCTGTTTGGTGATTTTGGTATCACAGTCAAATGATGACCAAGGGGAGGATTGATGTAGGTGAAGACCGTGCAGTCAGAGCTGAGGTCCACCTGGGTGTGTGTGGGGGGTGGGGTGGAGTGTAAATGTGTGTGTGTGTGTGTGTGTGTGTGTGTGTGTGTGATTGCATCAGTTCTATCAGGAGATTATTGTCTGATGTGGCTAACAGTGGAATTTCTCACTGCTTTTCCATATCATTAATCCAAATTCTTTGTGTGTTTTAACGTTTGTTCTCTATTATCTTATGGCTGTGTATCCTTTCCACAAAAGTGTTTCAGAGGTCTTTGAAGCAGTTAAACAAGGAAGGCTGATATATTATCTAAAGAACAAGTCAGAAAAAATATCCTCATCATCACTGTTTTCTTGAACTCTTATGCTTAAGGGAAGTAGTGACAGAGGACAAAATTCACCCTGAAAACTGGGGGTACATTTGTTTTAAATTTTGGCGGCCAATAAGGGCTAAGTAAAGAGATTTTTTTTTTTTTTCTCATTTTGCCTTCTAAACTCAAGGCATCTGTGATAATCTGGGCCTATGGGAGGGAGAAGTATTTCTTAAATTTGGAATGCCTTCCCTTCCCCTAATGCTTGCCCAAACTCCCTGAGTCTTCCAGGCAGTCCAGAACCCTCTTCCCAGGAAGTCTGCTCTCAGAACCAGCCCTCACTCGTCTCTTCCTTCTCCAAACATCTGTATTTCTTCGTTATTGCCCAGCTTTGCACTTAAGCACTGTCTTTCTCATGTAGAGAAATAGAGCTTAAATTTTATTAGTCACCCAACAGATTTCATTTGGAAGATGTATAGCTAGTTACCCGAGAACCAGGAAAGGGAGACTTGCTCAAAAACAGGAGCTAAGCCTGCAGCAAAACCAGTCTTGTATATTGAGTTTTGATGAGTTACAACTTTTTGATAATAAATCTTCCTATTTATAATGTATCTCATGTGTTCCTTCAGTCGGATGGGACCTTGTTTAAAAAAGAATCTATTATTTAGGATATGGTTGATGCATTTAAAGAATAGCTTTATTGAGATATAATTCTCATGCCACTATCTATTTAAAATGTATAATTCAATGGCTTTAATATATTCACAGGTATGTGCAACCATCACCACAGTCAATTTTAGAACATGTTCATGACCACAGTGGAAACCCCTGATTCTTTAGCTATCTACTCTCTTGGCTACCTGTCCCTCCAGCCGTAAGCGACCTCTAATCTACTTACTGTCTCCATAGCCTTCCCTCTTCTGGAAATGAACAAAATCACATAATAACATTAAACTAAGTGGAAGAAGCCAGTCATGTAAGACGTTATTTGTATTTTTGTTGTTGAGTTGTAAGAGTTCTTTATATGTTCGGAATACTAGAACTTTATCATATACATGATGTATAAATATTTTCTCCGAGTCTGTGTGCTGTCTTTTCATTTTCTTTGTACTGTCCTTTGATACATAAAAGTTTTAAATTTTGATTAATTTGGTTAATTTTTTTTCTTTTGTTGAATGTGCTTTTCATATCATATTTAAGAAATTACTGCCTCATAAAAGCTCACAAAGATGTGTATCTATGTGCCTTTCTAGGAGTTTTATAGATTGAGTTCTTATATTTAGGTTTTATTCCATTTTGAGTTAATTTTTATACATGGATGAGATAGGGATCCAGCTTTATTTTATTTATTTATTTACTTGCATGAGGATATCCCGTAGTCCTAGCACCATTTTTTTCCTGAGACAGAGTCTCACTCTGTCATCCAGGGTGTCATTGAAGCTTATAGCAACCTCAAACTCTTGGGATCATGTGATCCTCTTGCCTCAACTTCCCAAGTAGCTAAAACTATAGACATGCACCACAACTCCTGGCTAGTTTTTATATTTGTTGTATACATAGGGTCTCACTCTTGCTCAGTCTGGCCTCGAACTCCTGACATCAAGCAAGCCACCTGCCTCGGTCTCCCAGAGTGCTAGGATTACAGGTGTAAGCTAACATGCCCAGCCAGTCCTTCCATTTATCGAAAAGACCATTTATTCCTATGAATGGTCATAGCACCTTTGCCAGAAATTAGCTGAACGTAGACTATGGGTTTACATCTGGACTTTCAGTCCAATTCCATTCATCTATATGTCTTTCCTTAGTATAGTACCTTTCTCTCTTGATTACCATTATTTTGTGATAAGTTTAGATATAGGGAAGTATGAATACTCCTATTTTTGTATTCTTTTTCAAGATCGTTTTGGCTATTTTGGGGTCCCTTGCAGTTCCATATGGATTTTGGAATCATCTTATCAATTTTTTACAAAATAGTTGACAGAGACAAAGTATTATTTTTGTTTATTTAAATTTACAAAAGAAACTAATATTCGGGGAGATCAGCTCTACTATAGTGGAAAAAATTACAGAGATATACAGGATAGCAAATATTAATACCTTACTTTGCATCACTGAGTCTTAATAAAAATTCATATTGGAAACCACAATAAAGACCATATGCTGATGTTGAATTTGAGAAGAAAATGAGGACTTATTAAGTTCTTACATTTATGTTTATATAATAATTTAAAGGTAACAAATGTACTTACACTATTTGCCCATCTCTTTATCATGATTATTCTGGGATTTAGTTAGGAGGATATATATCTTTACTTTTAGTTTTCAATGAAGCAATTGAGGCACGAAGAAGTGGCTTGCTCAAAGAGAACAGCTGGTAAGTAGGCTAACAAACCATCCATATTTGCCTGGAGTGGAAGGGCTTTCTGGTGTGGAAAACTTTAAGGGCTAATGGAAAGAGGGGCTGAGTTGGTTCCTCTACTTATAAATAGCCGAGACAGGAAAGGGAGTCAGACTCCTTAACTCTTAGTTTAACACTTTCCTTAATATCTGACCTAATCAAGCAGGCTTGACCCTCTCTACTTTGGAAATTCTCTTTAAAACTCTTTTGGGTGGTACCTGTGGCTCAAGGAGTAGGGCACTGGCCCCATATGCCAGAGGTGGTGGGTCCAAGCCTGGCCCCAGCCAAAAACTACTAAATAAATAAAACTCCTCTCTTCATAATCTTTTATTATCTATCTATTTATTTATTTACTTTTTTGAGTCAGAGTCTCACTCTGTCATCCAGTCTAGAGTGTCATGGCATCAGTCCAGCTCCCTGCAACCTCATACTCTTGGGTTCAAGTGATCCTCCTGCCTCAGCCTCCTGAATACCTGGGACTACAGGCACTCACCACAATGCCCAGCTAATTTTTTTTATTTCTAGTAGAGATGGGTGTCTTGCTCTTGCTGTGGCTGGTCTTGAACTCCTGAGCGCAGAGGAGCCTGCTACCTCAGCCTCCCAGAGTGCTAGGATTACAGGGGTGAGCCTCTGTGCCAGGTCCATGTATCTTTTCTTGACTAATCTTGTCTGAGACCTCACCTATCCCAATCCCTCCAGCAAGCCCTTGTCCTTGGTGTCCCAGCCATAAGCCATAACAGGTTCTATATTTTCTACTTTCTGTGGGCTCTGATAGTTTTTTTTTTTACATTCATCGTTTCTCTGTCCTTCGGACTGTAGGTCATGGAAGGCAGAAGCAGTTGCTTCTCTCTCCTTCCCATGACAAGAATGGACATTTCATAAATACCATTGCCTGACCAACAGGAATTAAGTGGGCTTTTAAAATATCTTTCAGGATCAGGTAAGTTGCCTGGGGATGACCTTTTATTAGAATTCAGTTATTATTTAAAGATATGCAAGAGACACTGGGTGCCAGGAACACAATTTGTATATTTATTGTGTTTCTATGAGGATCATAAAAAGAAAAGCGCAGCCTAGCAAGAATCAATGACCCTCCTCAAAGAGCCAACTTTGGCATCCATGGCTCCCCAGTCGTGGTACCGCCGGTAGTCCCCGGGCCTCAGCAGGTACTGCCGCCCACGGTAGTTGGGCAGCTCGTAGAGGACCCAGCAGCCTTCCACCACTTGGAGGGAGTAGATCTCATGGACACGGAAGCGGTC